ATTGTTCTTGATGAACACATGAAGGTAGTTTAAACTTACTAATTGTTAGGGCTTCCACAAAATTTGGGATACGCCTTCCACCAAACACTTCTTATAGGTAAGTTTAAATGAGGTTTGGAAACATCAGTTTTATTTATTCTCTCTTCTATAACATGTTTCTCAATAGAAGAGCTATATCGTTTGTTCTCACCAAAAATCGGTTCTGGAGATTCCATTTGCTTCTGAATCCATTTTTGGGATGATATGCTCTGAAGCCGTTACTTACAGAGATCTATGAGTCCTCCCTATGTATGTGCGTCTATACGTACATTCAACTTGGTAAATACAGTGGGATGTGACGTCATTTTTCACACTTTCTAAGGGCTTAGATGTAAACATTGGCTTCACATTCCCAGTTATTCTGATATTAGCTGAATAGAAAGTCTTTGACCTCAGCGTTCAATCGTTTTCGAGTTAGTAAACTGCTATGATGACCCATGCTTAGGGTAGCTTGATATATTCCTCTTAATTAGTGTTGAGTTGGAGACTGGGTCTTGGTGTTCCACTAATCACTTTATATCTCTTTATGAACTTGTCTGAATAATTATTATCAGCTAGAGTTTGTCTCACTTTTCTCCCCTCATCTTCAAGTGTATGTCTTCTGTTCATATTCGTCGGATTACACTCAAGAAGCATCTAGATAAGGATATTTTGTACTGAACAGGGAAGAAGCTTTGTGGTAATTAAGATACTTTTCAACGAATTTATCCTCATCAAGCTGTACAATCGTATATATATGAATATGGTTTTTAAGAAATTATATCCGATGAGAGAATTAGATGAAAGGTGTGAATACATGAAATAATAATAATAGTTTGAAACGCAATTAAAATATTTGTGAATATATATTCTAGAAAGCCTGATTGACTCCTGTCAGTCTACAAACCCTGACCGCGAGTTTACCATCAGCTATCGAATCCATGCTAACTTGCCGTGTTTTCTTCGTTATAGACTTCTAATGACACAGGAGGCCTTGGCAATTCATGACTTCAAGCCAGACCTTTGTGTACAAAGAAGTATGTATAATCCCTACTTCTGCCTTGGCCGTAGACGGATAGACATTTATTTATTTATTTTGTTTATTTAGTTATTCTATGTACCTTTCCCTTATTACTACTATTATTATTCTCACTCTAAATCGTTTCCGCCTGTCCCACTTGTCATTCCAAATCAAAAATGATTCTTACATTATTGAATTCTATCTTATCAAATTTCATACCATGTTATGTAACATTTTATGTTCGCTTACTAATCCTATAATTATGCACCCGTTTCCAACATCTATACACCTTATGTATTATTCTATATATGACACGAATTGTTTTGCTACTTGATATTTAACTATGATTATAATCAAAAATATTTTAACTTAATTTCACACTGTTATTATTATTTCATGTATTCACACCTTTGATCTCATTTCCTCACCGGATATGATTTCTTAAAAAGCATATATATATACGATTGTACAGCTTGATAATAAACTCGCTGAAAAGAGTCTCTTCGCTGAATATTGTGTTCTTAATTAAGATACTGTCCAGTCCAGGTAGGTTTTCCATAAGTAAATCGTCTCACTGATCCATAAGTCCGTCAACTAAGCGAGATGCATCTAGGAAAGATAAACAGTTATTTTTCCCTTCTAAGGACGCAAGTGATGTGCTGCTCTGAACTTTATTTTTCAATTCAGATGTGATGGAACAGCGTTTTTGGGCACAAAAGAGGATAAAGAAGAGGGTAAGAATATGAACGCTGTGATAAGTTATGTAAGCTTACAGACCGGATAGATCTAATTAAGAATAAATCTGCTGAAGAAGCTGTGGCTTACACAGCGAAACGTTCAGAAAAATCTTGATTTGATTTTCTTAACACGCTGGGATTAATTTAAATAATTTATAATAAGAAAATGAAGGTCATATAATATAATTTTGCTAAATACCATATCGTGAGACTTAAGATCAGTACGATGGGTCAAACTGGTAGATTCGTGTGAAAGGTGGGCGGTGAGTGGGTTAATCAGATGATCGGAAGAATGGGAATTAATTATTGCTTGAGCTAACTAGATAGGTCATGGTCGATAATGATAAATTCGATAGTCTTGGCGAAACGCATTGACCTATACTATGCATCAATTTGCATGTAATCACACACACATGAGGATTAATGGGGTAGAGTTTTAACACAGATTGTTGGAGAAAGAGAGATAGGTTAATAACGGAATCCATGTCAACTGAAAGTGGAAGACTCGGAAAGAAAAGCCGTCTGTCTTTGACTAGATATGCACGTCTTTGCGTTCTATCTTCCATTTTAAGCGATATATAATATTGCAAGTAGCATTGGCTTTAATCTAGGTGCTGAATCTGACTCACAGTTTCACTCCCTGTGTGTCCGACCGTGAAAACATGCTGACAACTCTCTGAGAAGATCCACCTCTCTACAAAAGACCACACGGTGAGAATAGTTTATCAACTGTCAAAGCATATAGAGAAACCTCATATACTCGTTTTCCTCGAGGAAAGTGCACTGAGGAATCAGCTGATGGATAGTTGCACAAACTCCAAGAGACATGGATGGAAAACTCTTTTCTCTTTCCCAGATTCATAAACAGGAATATGAAACCAAGTAAAATGTGTGAAAAGGACCAAGTCGCCCCCAAAATGATGCTGATGTTTGACTTCGAATTTAAAAGTGATACTAAAGCTGTTATGTGTAGACGGCTTCCGAGATCTCTTAGTAAAAAATACTTTGACTCCAGTCTACGAGTAACATTTTCTTATGCAACTAACTATTCAACCACCATGTGAAAGAGAAGCTGTTACTAATAGTGCGTCACTTCAGCATGCACATTCCAATTCATTTGCTCCTTCCTGAGTAGCCGAGTACATTGGTGCGTACCATACATCCACATGTAAAATGTGCTCGTCAACACTATCCAGCCTGGTTGGCTAGCGAAGGGAGAACGCTAGTGAGTGTATTGCTTGGCAATAGAACATCCGGTGAATTCAGGATACTATGCCCCATGTTTTGTAAAGTCCTTCAAAGTCATACACAAAATCCAATCAGATATCTCTTGTAAATGGAGTGAAATCAAGGCATCTGGCTGGGAATAGCTGAGGCACTAACGATCCAAACAGAATTAAATCCCAAGCTGTGTATTCATCAAAAGAAATACATCTAACCGTTGTGGTCCCTGCGACGGCCATCTAAAATGTGGGTCCTATAAATAATGATTACAATATTACCTTTCTTCTCCAATCTTCCCGCTGATTTCTGTTATTTTTGCTGGTTTTTTTAAAAATTCCTATCTGCTTTAAAATGTTTTATATAGGAAGTTTCCGCCTGTTTTGTTATTACTGGCCTATTAATGCCTAACTGTACCATAATAATCATTCTTCTAAGCAATTTCGATATTACTAAGTTCCTTTTTATCCTGTTAAATACACCTGTAATTTTATTAATTTGCCCGTTGACCTACCGTAAATAGTTCTGGGAAATTTTCAACCTCTCTACTTTAAATACACGTATGTACAGCCTAGTTGCTCATAACTTCAACGAAAAGAAAATTTTCTCTGCAACTGTTTTTATAAGAAATATTGACGTTAGGCAGAGAGTTTCAAGTGAGGTGATTGTCAAGGTTTATCGACTGACATTTCTAGGACACGCATTGTGAATGCTGAGCCACCACTGACTTTCTCAAGGAGCTAGGTTGGTTGATATATGTATATATATATATATATTGCGTGGAGGATTTCATCATGAGCTGACATCAGTTAGAGAACCACTGGAAAACCTGGGAGTACTGGACAGCTGTTACGTCCTAGTTTGGGACTCATCATCAGTACGCACCCACCGGGATTCGAACCCAGGACCTTCTGGTTACAAGGCGAGCTCGTAGACCATTGAGCCACTGGGACCCGATCCAATGGTCCTTGAATTCTAACTTCTGCCAATTCACGACATAGCGCGACCATTTCGCAATGTCTTCTTAGATGAGTTACTGCCTCATCTCCAACAAAATCCCTACAAAAACCAATACTTGAAAATTAATCTAATGCTCACTAGTGACTGGCCCTATTCAGGCAGTTAACCTGGGGTTCTAGTGGGAAGCCGTGACCAGTAGGGTACAGCAGGTTGGAGATGATGCAGTAACTCATCTAAGAAGACATTGCGAAATGGTCGCGCTATGTCGTGAATTGGCAGAAGTTAGAATTCAAGGACCATTGGATCGGGTCCCAGTGGCTCAATGGTCTACGAGCTCGCCTTGTAATCAGAAGGTCCTGGGTTCGAATCCCGGTGGTTGCATACTGCTGAAGAGTCCCAAACTAGGACGAAACAGCTGTCCAGTACTCCCAGGTTTTCCAGTGGTTCTCTAACTGATGTCAGCTCATGATGAAATCCTCCACGCAATCAAACAAAATCCCTACAAAAACCAATACTTGTATATATATATATATATATAATCTCCTTCGGCTCCGAGTGAAACGAAGACTTTCAAAAGTATCGGTGCCGATACGTTGTGAGGTCGTTGGTCGGACTGTTGAAGAGTACAAAATGTGGGAAGAAACAGCCGAATAACTTCCTAACAAATGTGTCGGTTCATGACCAAATTCAACAAAACAAATTACCGTTATCACTATTATTATTATTATGACTTATCTAATTCCTCACAAATCTCCTATTCTGACTACATGTATTTCTTCACCAATCGATTTCTCTTTCTCTTCTCTAAATGTCTGAATTTAAAAGTATTTTAAATTGAACACAATTCACACAATAATCTGAGCGATGTTCACAATCGCAAAAATATTCTCCACTAGACATTTGACTTGCTTTGCACTTGATTCTTTAGTGAATGACATAAGAAATGTCAGCCTGACTTTCATCGATTTCTGTTATTTTTTTTTGACTGAGTAGTCATCACATCAAGGTTATTCACACTGACTGGTGAATCATTATAAAACTGAATGAATTCAACAATTTGTTCATTTCGCAAACAGACTATGCTACAGTTCACTTCTCTTGGTGTCTGGTGTGTTCTGATTCTACCTCTCCTTTCCATTCAAGGATGTTCTGGTATTATAATATCGAATCCAGTGTATCAAAGGCGCTTGTCAAATACAGTTGACGCACCGCACGAGAATGAATGGCGTGAGATTCCTGAATCATCTGTGAGTGTGCTTGGTACGGTGAGAAATAATACACTGTCAAGTCAAGACGTGTTGCGTACACCTGTCATGAATACGATTCTTAGTCCGACTGGATTTCAATTCGTTGGAAGAGATGACGGAACCTCATTGTATTCTGCACCTCAGAATAAAGCCTCATCACAGACACAGAAACAACCACAATCTCAGCCAATCTCAACGGGGATTACACGGGAGGCATTAGAGAAATTCACTGGTAATTTAGATGACTCTGACAGTAGTCATTTCAAAAACAATCCATCGGTGAATCAACAAGTGAGTCGTGAACAATATCCCATCTGGAATCCGCGGGCACAAATTGATCTTTATCGTGGTCGACAAGCTGTATTAACATCAGCAGCAGAACAACAACCACCACAAGTGAGAACTCCCTCACTGCTCACACCATATGCCACAGGTGTACCATATCAAAATCTGAGGGATCTGTTTTATCCAAAATATACAATAGGTCTGAATACACCGTTTGAACAGAATACTCATTGGCGAAGAACCCCACTACTTTTACTGCCATCATCAAATATGCTTCAGTATAACAGACTGTCTACGGAATATCCATTGAACTCGCGACTTCGAAGTACTCTATCTCAACCAAACTTGATTTTTGGACAACAACCTCGCGTTATTTTTGTAAGACAGTATATGCAGTCCAATCAACCTCAGCGCTTCAATGAACCGGGAGTGGCGAGAACATTACAACCATATGGACAAGTGGTGACGCCACAGAATAACACGAGAGATCCTAGACTTTTTCTGAATGTAAGTCGCAATGATGTAATAGGAAGATTGTTTGGGTAACTTGATTGTGTAAGCCATTTTAGAAGGTTAAATTGAATGAGGTAATAAAAATGTTTTGATGTGACATATGGCCTTTTTCCATCAGTTTCGTGGAGTTTCACATCCAGGAATTGCGGCATTTTGTTGTTGTTGTTATTAGTATTATTATTATTCGTGAAGAAGCTGGCGATTTCGAATACATAGAAGAGGCCTGAAAATGGAGAGTGGTTTCGTTATTCGAGTTCATGAGATTTTGTCGAACATATACACACAGGTTTGGCTTATCTTGAGGTGGACTATGATGGCTTCAGCTAGGTATATGTCAGAGACGAATTTGTAAGGTTAAATAGGTAACGGATAACTTCAAATGCATTGTTAAGACATCGAGTTAACTTTCAGGATATACGACGGGTGAGAGGTAAGCCAGAGAGCTACAAGTAGATGCTGTCTGTCTCTGTCTGAGAAATCGCTCCATGCAGGCTGCAGAATGTTTGCGGAAATGCGATGATGAACATGTCTAAAATAGGAGCCCCGATACATATAACTGCCTTCACAGCAACAGTAAAGTCGTGGTAGATCCACATTGTTGAGGATGACGCGAAATTAGGTAGTCTACCTTTTACCCCATAATCAAGTTGTAATACTGACTAAAAATGCTCTGAATGTAAGGATCGAATGTCGAGATAGTTGTGATTACCTTGACGTGAGTGCGGTGAAGCAGATGTGTTTGAGATGCAATCTATTTATCTGTGCTCACATTTAGGACAGTTGTCTATTCTCGAGGTGATTCGGTGACTGATAGCGTGTATTCTGACTGTCGTTTCATGTTTGTGAGCAGTCAGTACGAGGATGCACCTTGTAACAAGCGTTGTTCATGGAAGGAACCATGAAGTTATCAATGTAAGTTGTAAATGTGGATCAGTTTTGAATTCCACGCCATCCAGGAAATCTAGGTTTGCAGTGGAGATTGACTGATTGATTGATTTCAGATTTAATGACCATCAATGAATTTAATACATGTATATATACATGCGTCGCATAAGTACAAATAATGCAACTGTAGTTTAGGTGAATAACCTAGAGACTTGAGGAATCAGCGATGAATAATTCCCACCCGGACATCATTGATAAAAACAGAACACGTAGTTCAGCGAAGTGTTCCTCCATCTCTGCTTTCTGCAACTTCATTTCTCCCTCCTTAAGTGCGAATTTATGTGCAATCTATTTTCGATAAGAGAGGGTAGTAGCGACATTGATGATTTATTGTCGTCGTTCACCGTAACACTCAATGCGAACTCGTTGGCGACCAGTAGGCTAATAGGACGGAGGAATTCAATCCTAGGTTACTTTTAACAGGGAGTCAATGGTTCTCCATCTGATGTCAGTTTTTGGTCAATTCTGACTGATTTCCATCCAGTGGTTATACATTTAAGGTATCTCTAGTAAGCGACATGAAAACACATCATCGCTGCCAATCTAAATTAACGAGAACTGTTTATTTAGGCTTGATTGTATGAGATGAGAGTGAATTCCTTTGGACTATTTCACTAACATCCCTGGGATTAACTGTTTGCACTCTAATGTCACTAAGACCAGCCATCCGCTTATTGATTTTAGTGGTTTGTATTATGCCCAGGTTCTATTTTCAAGAGTGTCGTGATGCGTATTTTTATGATTCCCTTGAATTCCGAGTGGAATATAGGTTTTCAAGTGAGGAACATCTCCATTTCAGCCTGTTCTCACCAACACCACACGATCTCCTCTCCTAGCATCCGTCACACTTCGACCTACGCCAAAGTCGTCCTGGCCTCATTCAGGTCTCTCTCAACGGCCTTCCAGATAGGTGTATGACGTCAATATCAACAATCTCCTAAGGGTATTTCTTATCCATCCATACATCCATTCACACTTACATCTCCACTTTCGTCGTCGGAATATTTACTGAGTAGACAACAGTTTCCTTATTGTTCCGTTCCCTGCAGGAGTTGTTAATCCTTTCTGTCTGATCTTCATTATTCCGCAGCAGATTTCTTAGGCATTTGGAAGTGGTGACTGGCCGGCTGACTGACTGACTGACTTAACATTGGTGTTCACAATCTGAATCTAGAAATGAGTAGTGGGACGGATGAAGACATCAAACCCAGGCATAGTCGGAGAGACAAGGCAGACGATCTTCACCACTCTGAAATCAGTTTAGAAATTTTCTGCGCTCATAAGAAACAACAAGATTTGTATTTTCAACATAAAAGTTAAGTCAGTCATTTTTTCCGTTCTTCTATTATATTTGTCAGAATCGTGCATTGCGCTTCATGCAAAGCATTCCCAGCAGATTACTACAGACTTCTGTCAATAGATGCCATTTTAAAGATCAAATAGCCGGCTGACCGGAAGGAATCAGCAACAAGAAGCTGTGAGAACAAACTAATTACAAACCTGTTACCGAACAAATGTTGATGGTAATCGCTGCTGGTTGTTGTTGGATGGTTTTTCGGTTGGATATCTCCATCAGCGCCATCTTTTGCATGTTAACCTGAAGTCCTGTCCTTGCCACTAGCCTATTCTCCCAACTTATTTGTTTTCACCTGTACCTCTCTGAGTTTCTGTGACAATAAGCATAAATCATCTACCCAAAATCTAGATCATCTAGAGCCTTTCATATCGGTCCAGCGAAATCCTGTCTTCTCGCTCAATTCAAGCAGTTTTCCACGTTATCCAGTCCGCCACCGTCAAAATGATATTGGCGGTATTTGGCTACCTAACCTGTGCACTGTCAATTGTCTGTGGTTGAATGAGGTTGAATGAAAAGGACTTGGAGCAGATGATTTGATTGTAATGCACTCATTTTTATCCGAGAGACAGTACTAACATTGAAACTTTGATGCATTGTCTTCAACGCTCAATAGTGAGTGTCTTTCTCAATTTGACTGCTGGTTTGGGAATACCTTCCATAAACCCCCTCCAATTTTCAAGGTCTTCAAAGTGTGATGTGATGCAGTTATTGATCGCAGTAGTTCAGAGTTAATTTACTGTATGCTAATAACACAGATATGTCGGAGTGTATTAGCATTATTAGTGTGTAAAAAAGGACGTTGAATAATAGTATGTAGTGGTAAGAGGTGGTTGACATCTAATCGGTTATTAGGAATAATTGATGGTGAGCAGGAGAATGAAGGATTGAGGATGCATTTTGTAATCTTTAAATATTCCCGTTGTTAATATCAGAACAAGACATGTAAGCGAACAACTAGATCTGCTTTAGGCTTTACTCTAATTTACATAGATTTATATATAAAACAGAATTTAACCAATGACTGTGAGTCTGTGGATCGAATAATAATAATGATAATAATAATTTGGAAATTGTTTTGAATGCTAGTGAAATAACGATAATTATAATGATAACGAAAATAATGATAATAATGTTTAAAGAGGCAGCAGTAAGAATAACCAAAGTAGTAATACATGCATATGTGGACAATTCAATAAATAAATAAATTAGGTCAAATCTTAAAGGTCACGTAAGTGGACAAATACTCAGAGTTTAAATAAATATCATAAAAGCACGAAGGAAATGGAAAACAAGAAAGTGTGGGAGGGATTTAATTAGACTGTTCCCGGGCAAGCGAGGGAAAGACAAAGGTAGGACAAACTTCTCTTGAATGCAAAGACTAGAATTCTTCTGTGAAATTCCCATAGCTTCGGCTATATATACAAATGTGGTTTCGAATTCCGTTCGGAAGGTTGGATGGGATGCGATGAATGACAATGAAGGCATTTTCAAGTGTTGGTTCGTAGGGATTTGGTTGGTTACAGGATTTTCGTCATGAGCTGACATTAGTTAGAGAACCATTGGAAAACCTGGGAGTACTGGACAGCTGTTTCGTCCTAGTTTGGGACTCTTCATCAGTACGCACCCACCGGGATTCAGCTCATGATGAAAATCCTGTAACCAATCAAATCCCTACAAACCAACACTTGAATATTAATGAGATGCTCACTAGTGACTTGCCCTATTCAGGTAGGTAGTTGCCCGGGGTTCTAATGAGAAGTCGTGACCAGTAGGGTGCAGCAGGTTGGGCGTGAGGACAAATACTCGCCGAAGACATTGGCTAGGGGTCGCGCTATGTCGTGAATTGGCAGAAGTTAGAATTCATGGACCATTGGATCGGGTCCCAGTGGCTTAATGGTATACGAGCTCGCCTTGTAACCAGAAGGTCCTGGGTTCGAATCCCGGTGGTTGCATACTGCTGAAGAGTCCCAAACTAGGACGAAACAGCTGTCCAGTACTCCGTGACTGGTTTTCCAATGGTTCTCTAACTAATGTCAGCTCATGACGAAAATCCTGTAATGAAGGCATTTCTTCTGTCCACCTAATGACCGCTATCGTCAGTCAAATGGAACAAAATGGAAATGCTCATAGATGTTAGCTTATTTTTTCTGAACCAGTAAGGAAGGAAGATGCTCAGCAGTGATGCATTTGTTAAGCTAGCCGTCTAGTTATTTGACCTATATAGCCATCTTTCTCTTCAGGAGCAGCTAAATTTGTAAATACACATAGAAGTGGCTCAGCTAGGCAGCTTGTCTTTCACTTGGGCAGTCACATAATTTGTCAGCAGCTGAAAAATGGCAGGAATAAAAGATATAGGAAAATGACCACATAGAATTTATTATGCTACAATTCATGAAGAAGTTAAACTGACACTAAGGCCTGGCCATGGTAGTAAAGTAGGCTGAATGAAAACTCATTTGAACATAAAGTTCCGGATTTCTTCGGATGGACTGCTAAAGCTTCGGATGCATGGAGAAGAAGTAGGTGAAGATATTTTTTTCTGACGGTTTGATCGTACTTTATACATGATTCTAAATTAATGGAGTATCTTCCAGTACCACGTGGTCAGCAGTATTAATATACTCAAGAAGTCAACAATCGATTGTCGTCTGCGTTCTCCTTTGAACAACCTTACCATCAAGTCTAGACAATGTCCAACTAGTATCGCCCATGTATCCAATTCCACAATCAC